TCCTCAAGCATGTGATATTTCTGTATTCACATGGTTTTGAAGGCCCCATATACACTGTACATGAATACAAGAATTTTAGTACACTGAAGTGAGACTTTGTAATCAATAATGTTCATTTATTTATTCATGCATTCTTTGAACATTTGTTTATTCATTAATTCCCATATGCATTTATTTAATAACAATTCATGAAAATGCCTTGTGCTGGACAAGTTGGGAATACAGCTATGAGTCAGACATGATCTTTGCCCTCAAGCAATGTGTAGTCTAGTAAAGGACTAATAAATATACAAAAATAACCCAAATTATGTATTACATTGTGAGCCTCGAGATGAAGGGATTGGGAGAAAGGCACTCCAGATGGAGGGAACATCATAAACAGAGGTACTTCTACTGTTTCTAATTTTAACTTGTATTTTTTAGGTTTCCTCAGCCTTTGCCCCTCAGGCTTGCACAAGCTGCAGCTTTCCTGTTACTAGGTAAACACTCTTTAGATTTGCCTGAAAATTTCATCTTACCATGGAAACTACTGGAAACTAGTGAGAGTCTAGGTATGTCAGTTGTCAAGGATAGAGATAAGGTGAGGAAGGCTGCTATATAGCCATTGTGTGAGTATGTATAGCCTCTGACTCCCTGCTATTTGAATTTCTCTCCACCAATTAAATAAAAAAAATGAAATTTGAGTAACGTCATTTGCTCAAGGGACTTACCTGTCATCTGTGAAAATAAGGTTTCTGTGGTGAGACACCAGATAAACTCAACTTCCTCTTTCAACAACAAATGTGTCAGTTATTAGCAGGATCCATGCTGCCAGAGTAAAGCTTTTTACCCTTTGCTCCCTGCAAAGAAACAAGAGTGCTTATCCCAGCTAAGCTCCAGGGTAAGTTAACGCCTCGCACCTGGGGATTGGTGGTTTCATGTGGGAAGACTGGTGTGATCATAAAGACCAGAACAGAGGTGGATGTGGGGCCAGTGTCTGTATTTAAATTGTTCCTCGTTTCTCATCTCAGACCTCTTGCAACAGGAGCAAAGTTAATTACCGTTAAGTTTGACCAGAGTCCAAAGTTAAGGTTAATGCCCTCCGTCCTCTTCATTATGCCAGGAGCATGGAGTCTGTGACGCAGCTCACTCTTTGATGAGGGCTTTTTATAGAGTGGGATCAAGGAAGATGGCACAAAATGGTAAGAAAAGTACACAGTGAGACTCACTGGGACAACTTGACATATTTAGCCAATAAAAGGCAATTTGATTTTTTATGGTGTATAATTTATCTAGCTACATAATGAAAAAAGATTTTTAGGTGTAAAAGTCTTGCTTTGGAAAATTTAACTTTCAGAGATACTGAGACAAATAGTAGAAAGTAAGACAATATATTCTGGGGGCTGTAAGGGGTCTTAGAGGTCCAAATTCCTCACAATACAGTCAGTGAAACTGAGAGGCAGTGAAGTGAAGACACTTATGTTCACTCAGCTTGTTAGTGGTATAGGTGGAACGAGGACCTGTGTCTTTAAACTCATGTTCCCTTTCCCCTACAGCAGTTTGCATCTCCCAGAGAATACTGTAAACGTATTTGTGACTTTGTCATTTTTTTAGGTTAGGAAAGGAGAAAATATCCAAGATGACTTCAGAGTCTGCTCGGAGTGGTTCCTTGATCCTTTGAAAGCTAGTTTTTGACCGAAATTCAGCCTTACTGGATAGGAGAGCCCATGAGTGAGGCACTCATTTTTTCAGTTATTATTGCTTGAGTTATTCAGTTATTACTCTGAATGCTAGCACCTCTCTCCTTCTGTGCTAAGATGACTAAATCGAAAAGAAACTTTCAGCTAGGGAGCCCCTGAAGGGAGACTGTGCCAAAGCAACTGGAACCAAGATTAGTCTGGATAGAGTGATACCAGATTTTGCTGTGCTTTCCGGGGAAATAGGCTCAGTTCCAAGAATCCTGTAAGTGAGAATATTTTTGTTTCAGTTGTTCAAATGGATGTGTGGAGTCATTATAATGTCTATTAATTGGAGAATCTGTCTCTTAGCAATTGCAGCACAGTAAAATTAATCACTTATGAAAGCAAATGATATACAGGTATAAAGAGAAAGAAAATGGTGTAAATTATTCTCAGAATCAGACCACACATTTGGGGCAATTGTTTTTGCAATGGTTCCTGTTGAACACAGATTCTTTGGCCAAATGCAGTTTATTTTTGGGCTCAGCTGGGAAAGCTGTAGAGTTCAAGTTGTACAGACTACTCAAATCCAAAGACACCAAATGAGTACACACATTTCTGGGTGGTATTGGTTTGAAGTGAGGTGGGGTCTTAAAAGATAGGCCAGCCTATCTCTCCTACAGCTCTGTCATGGTTCAAGCAAAGAGAACAGAGCTGTTTGTAGTAAAATGAGACTTTCTACAAGTTCTAACAATCAGGACGATGGCTTCCTGGCGGTCTATGATTCATTTTAAAAGCTTTTGTCCAAAAGGTTTACTTATACTTCAGATGTGTATATTTTGAGGGGAAGTTTTTACCTAGTATCAGTTCATATATATCACAGGTTGAGTGATGAAGTAGATAGATCAATACACAAGGAGTCAGAAGTCTGTGTCATAGTTCAAGTTCTGCCAATGACTTGTGTGGTCTTTGGTGAATTATTTCATTTCTGTGAGTCTCAATAATCTTATCTATTATAATGGGATAGGGCTTAGAATAGATGGTTTCTAATTTCCTTCCCAGCAATAAAATGATTTGATATAGGCTGTTAGATATCTAAGAAGAGTTAAATGTCATGAAGTGGTGAATAAGGGGGCCATAATAGGGAAATCTATCTAGACAGGACACTCGAGGAAATGTAGTTTAGATCTCCAAGAGAACCAAGTATCCTTTCCCAGTGGCCATTATATTTATTTCAGGAATTCATGAGAACTTCAACTTTTAGACCACAAGCAAATGCTTTGTAAGTAACTTCCCTTTTTTTAAAATGATAAAATGCAAGAAAAAAGATAAAACTTGCTGAAATCTTATTCCACAGTCACAATGACACTCAATCAGCATTTCTCAATCTTTTAAAGCCAAGGTTCCCTTTGAGAAACAGAAATATTTCACCACAAAGTTATTGTGAACCTGCCTTCCTAGAAACCAGACGCTGGGCTTGTAGGAAAATCTGCTCCATCACATTGACATTTCTTAATTGCTAAGTGTCAAACAGCCAAGAAGATTTTGTAGATCTGTACTTTCACAGTTTGTATTATAGAGACAATAATAACATTAAAAATTTTTTATGATAAAGAATATGTTTTTTCAAGTAGTACTTATTTTCTACCTCTCACTTTAAAAATTACTGCTCTAGATCTTCTAGTCTTCTGTTACAATTACACTTCTTAGGAGATGTTCTAAACCTGGAAATGCACAGGATCCAGCCAAAAGCCCTTGGAGATGACTCTGTATACAAATAAAGGGAAAATAAACTTGCATTTATTTAATGTGTACTGTGTATCAGATGTGAAAATAGGTACTTTCACATACTTATTTTTAAATTTGTATTTTAATAGTTTTTGAACTACAAGTGCTTTTCTTTTTTTTTTTTTTTTGTTACATGGCTGAATTAAATAGCAGTAAATTCTGAGATTTTTAGTGTACCCACCACATGACTAGTATACATTGTACCTAATGTGTAATATTTTTGCGCCAAGCCTGTCTCAACCTCCCCCTTCTGAGTCTCTATAATCCATTTATCACTCTGTATACCTTTGCATAACCATAGCTTATCTGTCACTTATAAGTGAGAACATCTGAATTTTGGTTTTTCACTCCTGTGTTACTTTAGTTAGAATAGTAGACTCAAGCTCCACCCAGGTTACTGCAAAATACATTATTTCAATCTGTTTTATGGCTAAGGAGCATTCCATGGTATATATACACCACATTTTCTTTATCCATTCATTAGTCAATTGGCACATAGGTTCATTTCACATCTTTGCAATTGTGATTAGTAAGATTGCTGTATCAAATGGTAGATTTACTTGTAGCTCTTTAAGGAATCTCCATACTGTTTTCCATACAAGTTGTACTAATTTACATTCCCACTAGCAACATAGAAGCATTCTCTTTTATCCACATACACACCAGCATCTACTGTTTTTTGACTTTTTAATAATGGCCATTCTTGCAGTAAGTTGCTATTTCACACTGGTTTTCTCATGATGATTAGTGATGTCGAGCATTTTTTTCATGTTTGTTGGCCATTTATATATCTTCTTTTAAGGAATGTCTGTTTATGTCCTTTGCCCACTTTTTAACGGCATTATTTGTTTTTCTATTGCTGACTTGTTTGAGTTCCTTGTAGATTCTAGTTTCTAGTCCTTTGTCAGATGCATAGTCTGCAAATATTTTCTCCCACTGTGTAGGTTGTCTGTTTATTATTTTCACACACATTTTTCTTTAATATTCAAAACAATTTATGTGGCAGAAACTATTCTAATTTTACAAAAGAGGAAACTGAAGCCTGGGGATATGAAGTAAATTGTTTCAGGCCAAAAAGCCAACAACTGAAACATGATATGATACCAGGACTTCCCAAAGAGCATGATTATTTCCACCCATAAAATGCTGCCACAATGGCAAAAATGATATTTAATTAGGCCACCTTCCTAAATGATTGAAAATCCAATAAAGATTCATACCTAAAAGTTCAAATTCAAACTTTAAGTTGTTGTTTTGTTAATGTCCTAATTGCTTTAATTCATTTTAAGGATAAAAATAATTTTCACTTCCTCTAAAAAGAAAATGTCTATACTTGCAGGATATGTCCAAATCTGTGTGTTTCTGATGTCATATAGGCTAATTTGGAGTTGATGTAGATTTATTCATGAAACAGCAGAGTTCCCAATTCTAGCTGCTACTTTTTGGTTCTGGTTGTGAGCTGTTGAATCAGGAACACCGGAGTCACGGAGATCAGATTGGCTTGGATAATTCATGTGAAATTCAGTGGCTAAAAAATAAAAGAAAAAGGTAAGATGAGGCAAAGCAAGTTAAGTTCCCAGATGACATGCAAAAGTTGTCCTCTAGAGAGTGGGAGGGGCCTCCGTCAGCAACTTTCTTTCTCTGTTTGATTTTTAATTCTCCTCCCAGGATGACAAGCCCACAGACGGGCCGCAGCATTAAATAAAATGAAGAAGTAAATTTGATAAACATGTTTATTTAGTGGTGCCAGTGACTTAACGATGAGTGGAGAAAAGACAGGGAAGATTGAGAGTGAAGATTTATAGAGTTGGTACCAGCTGCATAAATGGCGGCAATGGCAGTGGTGACAGTATTGGTTACGGGCAGGGTCCAGAGGGGGAATTCTCACAAAATTATGCCAAATGGGAGCTAGAAGGAAGTTAAAGTTCATGTCATTCAAATCATATTATTTTAATAATGAGGAAATGAAACTCAGAGGGGGGAAAGAGCATGTCAGAGCAGCACAAAGAGTAAATATTACTGAAATCTAAGTATCTTAGCTCCAAATCCAGTACCCTTTTCAATATATTCTACTACTTTTAAGTCTTCTCTGTCCTACAACAAGCCTTGTCCTATTCAGATCACTTCGGTTGTAAAGAAATTGTTCCAGTACTTCTATCTACAGATTTATTATGATTTGAATTCATAAGCACAACTCCATAAAAAATGTTAGTTTTTATATAATTCTATCCTGACACCTGGTGTGCAGCAATATGCCATATATGCATAGTGTAGATGCATAAAACTGCTAGAACTAGAACTGAGAACAATAACTTTTTTTTTTTTTTTTTTTTACCTTTGAGGAACAGTCTTACCCATAGAAACACCACTTTAAAATATGTTTCTGTCCATATAACAAGTTATTCAGTTAAAAGTTATTTTAGCTTTCTGTGCTTATGAAAAGCCTTATTACGGCTGAAATCATAACAACTCTGACCTGCTGGGACTCCATTTTCTAACCTGTAGGAGTGTATAATATTAATTCACTCTCAATTCCTACAAAGATGAAAGGTGACATACGAATAGCACTTAGCTAGTGACAGACAGGATGTGGAAATTTCTTCACTGGGACTTTAGGAAACTGATATAAATTCTGATGCCATAATAACATAAGCTCACCTTGACTGTACCTTTGTGAAAGCCACAACGTTGCGCTAGTTGGTTGGGAAGAGCAGTTGCTGTTAGGTACATGATATTGGTACCTACTAAGATTTTAGACTGAGCTCCTATGAATCATATTTAAAGACCTGTCATACTTTTGTATTCTGAGAAAACATTTAATTATTTCCACAAAATAAAGTTTTTGGTGATCCAATTCCTAATTAAGCTTATGGGATTTCTGTTGGATTTCAAATAGAAAGCTGGATTGCCTGCTTGGAGCTCTTAGGTGTCCAGATTTTAGGCCAAAACATTATTCTTGCTTTGACCACATTTTCTTCAGTAACAGAAAGGGGAAAAATATGGCTGTCACTTGGGAGAGTGGTTCATGGGAGAGACTTTAGAAGTAAAAATGCCTAAGGCTCTGCTAATATGTGCCTATGCTCCATAGTCCTACCTTTATAAACCAATACATTTGAACTTAACCCCTATTGCATGAGTAAACCTTTGCTAGACAAAGTGAATGATAGGAAAGTCTAAGATGTAGAATCTTCCCTAAGCGAGATTGCATTCTCACAGTTAAGCCTATAAACTCAGTATGAGTTCAAAGAAGAGGGGAGTGAGAGTAGAGCTGCCCAATGTGAGGATAAAATGGGAGTTGAGATGTGATATTGAGACAGAAGTAAAATACTGACCTATGAAAAGGGCTCCAGGTTAAGAGGAATTTGACGGTGTTTTAATCATAACTTTGTGACATTCTTATTATCAGGAACATCCTTAGAGCCACACTTTGATTTTTCTTTTTGTTTTTTTCCCTATTTTTTTCTTCAACTTTAATTTTAAACTTATGGTTACATGTGCAGGATGTGCAGGATTGTTACATAGGTAAATGTGTGTTACAGTCTTTTGCTGCATAGATCACCTAGGTATTAAGCCCAGCATCCTTTAGCTATTTTTCCTGATGCACTCTTTCACCCCATAGCCCTCAACAGACTCCAATGTTTGTTGTTCCTCACTATGTGTCCATGTGTTCTCATCATTCAGCTCCCACTTTTAAGTGAGAACATGTGGTGCTTGGTTTTTCTTTCCTGCATTAGATTGCTGAGGATAATGACTTCCAACTCTGTCCATGTCCTTGCAAAGGAAATTATCTCATTCTTTGTATGGCTGTATAGTATTTAGAGTCACAGTTTGTAAGTGAATCCTGTTATTTCAGAGATGGTGGCTGATTTTTCTGCTTTTCTTGTTAGATTAAAACTCTATGCTGGTCATTCCCTTCAGGATTTGGCACTCATCAACAGACCCTTCTTTCAAGTGAAAAGACATCTCTATCAATGGTCCTAATCTTTGGAATAGGAAGTGTGTGCTCTGTAGAGAGCACTTCCAACTAGATACCAAGAGTAATTACTTCTGTAAGGCTGGTATTGGAGGCACTGGGAATTCTACTCTCACCTCTGTCTAAGTAATTCACAGCCACAGAAGTACTGACTGAAGTGAGGTTGTGGGGACATGTATGCCACCTCAAAGTGCATTAAAGAATGGGTAAAAAGTGAAGAAAAGAAAAAAATGGTTTTAAAAACTATTAAGAGAAGGGCAGGAAGGCAACAAAGAGCTAGAATAAGGTGCATAGACAAGAAAATTACCTTGGGAGCTGGAGAGACTTGATGACAAAGATCTAGCCGAGGGTGTAGGAAACCATGATTTTCTAGTAGTGAAGGGAAGCAATCAATGAAAGAGTATCCTGAGGGAGGTAAGAAGAATGTGATAATTCATCTGGAGCAACAGGAAGGACCCCTGTGCTGGGAAGTAAGAAGAGCGCAGCTATAAATAAAATTGTGTGTGTTGGGAAAGGACAATAGATGAAGTTGATTTCTTCTCACCTAATAATCTTAATTTACTCTTTGAGCTAAGGGGTAAAACAAATAATATTCTGAAAAAAGTGGGAGATGGAGAATAGGAGGGAGAAAAAGAAGCTTTAGTAGAATAGTAAAGGGGCTGATTAGCCACCATGGGAATAGAAGGAGATACTAATTAGGCTCATGCAAAAAGAAGCTAGAGGAAAAAATCTTAGATTGGAGATCATTAATTTCTACTTTGCCATTTAAAAAGTACACTGGTATTTTAACAGGAAAATTTAGCCATTTGGATAGTAAGAAAGAATATGGGTTATGGACTTAACCTGGGATTAGGGCCTTGCCAGGCTGGTGCAGCAGAAGAATGGAGAACAAAGAAATTGTGTATTCTTGTGTAAGAGTGGCTAATTTGGCCAACTATTTATTCTGGGTTAGACACAGGAGGAAATAAGATGAGGGAGGATGCTATGTGACGCTAGGAGAAATGGAGACATTTAGATATTGAAGATTTCTGGAAATGTATGATGCAAGTTAGTGCAGTGCAATTTGTAGTGAAGCTCAGTCATTATGTTAGAGAAAGAAAACCATTAGAAGAGTTAGGAATTGGTGAGGGTTGGCAGATAGCACAACACTGAAAACTACTGGAATAAGAAACAGGTGAATTGATTCAGATTGTCAGCAGAAGTGGATGCTATTAGTTGTGGCATATGAAGTTGGTCTGGAAAAATGCAAAACTGTGATACCCTTTTTATAACATTTCACATTTTATAAATGAAATTATCTTTGACTCCTCAAGCAGTCTTCAAAATTGCTCAATTCCATATCTGACTTTTACTTAATTTTAATATAATAGGGTGATCAACTATTCCCATTGCCTTGGACTGTCACAGTTTTAGCACTGAAAATACTATGTCCAAAAAACCCTCAGTCACAGGCAAACCTGAGCTGTTGGTCTTCCTACATAATCCCAAAGTGATTTGGATTCCCTGTGTCCCATTTTTTAAAATTCATCTTCCACAGGGTTGCCAGCATGACCTTTCTATTTTTTATTTATTTATTTTAAAAATATTATTTAGTTACCTATTTTTGAGACAGTGTCTTGCTCTGTCACCCAGACTGGAGTGGAGTGGTGCAATCTCGGCTCACTGCAACATCTGCCTCCCCGGCTCAAGCGATCCTCCCACCTCAGCCTCCTGAGTGGCTGGGACCACATATGTGCACAACTGCACCCAGCTAATTTTCATATTTTTTTGTAGAGACGATATTTTGCCATGTTACCCAGGCTGGTTTCAAACTCCTGAGCTCAAGAAATCTGCCCATCTGGACATCCCAAAACGCTGGGATTACAGGTATGAGCCACTGTGCCCGGCCACCAGCCTGACCTGTCTAAAACACAAGTATGATGATATCACATATCTTCGCAGAATCCTTTGATGATTCCTTATGAAGTGCATTAAAAATCTTTCATGATCCTGCCCACTCCCAAACCTGCTTATTAAAAAATTGACTTCCAATCTTTCTGTTCTACGCAGGTGTTATTTCTGCTCCCACAGAAATGCCATTGTTACCGCTTTCATGGAATGTTTGAAATCTATCATGGTTAGTTAACTTATGGCTACCTAGTTTCTATCCATAGGATATGTCTGACCACCTGTGATTTCTAAATTAATTCATTTTCTCTTTTCTCAGGCCTCTACAGGTGTGGCTTTTCTGAGGTGAAAAGGATAGGTGTAGGGATTATTGATAGGTGCAGCCCATGTTAGAAGACAATCTTTTAGGGAAATGGTAGGCAGCAGAAATGTATTTGTTGATATATCAAGGTTTTTTTTTATTTGTGCTTAATCCTTCTAAACAGAAACTTTGAACTATTATGTAAGCAATTCAGTCCAATTATACTTTTTATATATTCTTTGAATGTTTACTAGGCTAGGTCCAGGCTATACAGTGATGAACAAAGGAGATCTTTTTGTGGCACTGACGGACTTACCAGCATAGTGAGAGTAATAACCAATAAACAAATAATAAAAACCCAAATTACAAATATTGATGCTACAAAGAGAAATAATAGAGAATGTGACAGCATGTAATGCTATATAGGATTATCTAGATTGAGTTGGTAGTTAAGGTCTCTCAGGCCCATACAGAGATTAAAAAGGAACAATGTGTGAATTTTGTGACTTCTGCACAACTTATTTAACCTCTTTGAGCCACAATTTTCCCATCTGCAATGTGGAAATAATTATAGGATTCCTGTGAGGATGAATGGGATAATGAATAAAGTGTTCAGCCTGTAAATAAATGGCACCCCTAAATAAGTGGCAGTCATATTTAATGTTAATGTTAGACATGGTATGGGGAATGAACTTTAGGGGAAAGACTGGAATGCAAGCAGTTCAGTAAGGGAACTGTTGCAATAGTCAATAGGGTTGATGACAGTAGCCTGGGTTAGGATGGTGACAGTAGAGGTGGAGATAGTTTAGAGAGCATTTTACATGGAAGGAAGGATCACTTGGATTTTTATTGTCCATGGGAGGAAATACAGTGGCAAGGGTCAGAATTATTCCTTAATTTTCAGCTTGAGTGTCTGGGAGAGGAGTCAGGGCACTGACTGAAAAGGGAAGCACAGACTCAGGAATGAATCACTAATCTCACATCCCTGTGAGACAGGAACCACAAATATGTCTATATTGAAGGGGAGAGAAATTGGCAAGACAAAGGGAGCAAACTGCCCACAAATAGGCAACAATAGAGCCAGAGTCATAGAGAGACAGAGAGATGAAGAGAAAGAGGCAGGGGCAGAGAGAGAGAGAGAAAGACAGAGAGAGAGATGGAGTGGAGGAATAGAGAGAATACTCTGATTTTAGTCCTTCCATCCAGCATTTTCTTGTTGGTGGCTGCTTAGCTTCTCTTTTCTTATATTTCAGAAATGAAACAATTGTCCACAGCAAGCTAAATGTTCCCTCTCTGAGAGCCTACATTTCGGCTCAACCTCTAAATAAATACTTCTGCCTCTTCTCATCATGTGGATTTTACATTTAATGGTCACTAAGAAGATTTGGCAGGGGGGACCTTCTTACCTTCTCTTCAGACTGAAGCAGAAAAGAGGCTTTTGGAAGGAAGTCATGCAAATCTCTAAGCTCACAATGAACTGTGAATTGCAGAGGCATAAGAACCCACGAGGCGGGGCGGGGGGCGGAACAAAGGTATGAACTTGACCACTAGCTTGCTGTTCTCGCATAATTGGGCTCCATTTTTTAACACGGAGGTATTAACAGAACATTCCCCTTTAGTAACTGAAACTTTCTACACCAGTGAAGCTAAAACAAATCGCCATTTCTTTTAAGTGCAAAAGTGGAAGTGTGACTGGACGAGGGTAGGGTTATGAACAATTCTCAGTTCTTGAAATTGTAATGCACTGATGCTCTTTCTTTGCTCTTTCACAGCCTGTGTGTGAACAATAGATGATAGTAGAAGTAATGCCAATACTGCAATCAAAGTAGGTGTTGGGGTGGGAACTGTGTTGCATAAGTAGGGACAGGTGCTTAGTCCTACTCTGACTAACTAGAGGAATTCTAGAGCTATGTGATTATAAGTTCCTACTATGGGATTAGAATGGTTCTACCATAATGTGCTCTTCACATGCCACAGTGAAATTGAAATAATATTTTTTGTAGCAAGATGGTTGGAGCTGGAGGCCGTTATTCTAAGTAACACAGGAGTGGAAAGCCAAAAACCAGGCGTTCTCACTTATAAGTGGGAGCTAAGCTATGAGCATGCAAAGGCATATGGAGTGATAGTTAAGACAGCCTTATTCTACTAAGTGGTTCCTCCTAGTCAGGGAGAGGAAAGTGGCATAGTGGAAATACTATAGGCTTCAGAGCAAACCAGGAATGATAGTAAATCTTATCTTTACCATTTTTTGCTTTGCTATTTAAGGCAATTTACTGAATGTCTCTGAAGCTCAGTTTTTTCATATAGATCATAGGGTGATAATAGTTCCTACATCTTAGAACAGTTGTGAAAATTGAATTAAATAATATGCTTGAAAACTTCCATTACAGATTCTGGAATACATCCTTGATGGTCACAGCATGATAATTATTTCCTGTCTTTCTACCTGTGAGTGCCCCTTCCACCCTCCATTCTAAGTAACACATATATAAGCAAAATGACTGCCTATTTAAGACATATAACAAATAAGAGGGCAAATAGGGAGATGGAATAGAACAGGGGGAAAGTAAAAGTATTATTCACAGTAATAGCAGCTCATAACATCCACACTCTTTTATCTGTAAATTCATCACTTGAGGCTCTGTTTTTGTTATCACAACTCTATTTCCTGGAGCAGGACTTAACACCACCTAGGAAGCCATTCTGCTACTTATGGGGAGAATCTAAAACCAGGTTACTCCTTTGTTTTTTGTAAACTTACTTCAAACAAGCTTGAAATACAATAAATATTCCTTCAACATACACAGAAGTTATGTTTGTGAACTTTGTCTTGGGGAGAAAAACAAAGATGAGGAGAACGGTATACATGAAGGCAAGGCCCCTTGTCCTCCCATTTCAAGTCTCAGATCTTCCATTAACAGCTGTGTGGCCATTATAATCTCCTCTCTCTGGGCCTTGCTTCTCTCTCTATTATGTGGAGGCTGAATTTAATGATTTCCAAAGGTCCTTCTCAGTCTGAAATTCTACAAGATAGTTAAAGCAAAATGAGGAATCTGTTGCTCTCCTTACCATTCTTATCTGCAGGCAATCAGCATAATTCCATGCCCAGCCTCTGATAATCTCTAAAGATTATGCTACTCTCTATATACCTTAATATAACACATAATAAAAATAATACTAAATCATAAAATATGATTAAGAACGTCCAAAAAGAAGGAATCTCTTCATAATGATTAATGAATAAAGAAAGCATTACATTTTAAACTGTCTTCAAAAAGTGGCTTTAGTGATCCTGTTTTGCTGGTGCCCAAAGCAGTGTTTATTGTGACTGCTGGATAACTTGCCATGTCAGTGTTGCCATATCAGTGCAGGATTCTACTTAGAGGTCTTTTCCCCTTCAAGATTTCAAGAAGGAAAATACTCTATTTCAGCTTATAAATTCATATATTATTAAAGCTTTTTTATGTAAATTTGGATATACAAGCCTAGGGAGGGATACAAACTGCAGAATAATTTCAGAGTCACAAGCTATGATGATAGAATAATGCGGCCACATTCTCAGGTCTTGAAAATCAGCCAGGACACTGACAATGCAGGCTTTTGGAGGTAGGACCATTTTCCAAGTGCTGGGGTTCCAAGATAAGAAGCCAGGGGCAGGGAATGGTGGCTAGCGTCTGTAATCCCAGCACTTTGGGAGGCTGAGGCGGATGGATCATGAGGTCAGGAGATTGAGACTATCTTGCCTAACACGGTGAAACCCCGTCTCTAGTAAAAACACAAAAAATTAACCAGGTGTGCTTGCACACAGCTGTAGTCCCAACTATTCAGGAGGCTGAGGCAGGAGAATCACTTGAACCCCGGAGGCGGAGGTTGCAGTGAGCCGAGATGGCGCCACTGCACTCCAGCATGGGTGCCAGACCAAGACTCTGTATCAAAAAAAAAAAAAAAAAAAAAAAGAAAGAAAAGAAAAAGGAGCAGCAGCCAGGACCCAATGGGCAAAATGGCAGACAAAGGACAGGCAAGCGAACATAAAAGGTGAGCCTGAATTTCTACCATTGCAATTAGGTGTGAGTAGTATTCATTCTAACCAAAGCTTTGGACAAGATGAATTTGGAGGCAAAATAAATATACTTGAATGCTATGCTGTTTTTGCTGTGGTGAGAATAAAAGATTTAATATTTCAAGACATTTTTGCCTGAAAAATACAACTTAGAGAATCTGGGAGGGCAGTTGTGAGGCGATTTCATGGTTCCTTAACTATTACATAGGGTGACTTTGGATCAATACTGTATCTTCCTTGAGCCTCTAATTGTTTATCTGTAAACTGGTCTCTTCTAATTCTAATACTCTGTGCCTCCGTAAGTAAAAAAGAGAGATCTAGGTGTTAGCTAAAGAACTAACTAACCATTATACTCTTTATTTTGTTTTACTTTGGACAGGAACTGTAAATCCATGACTTACTTTGATGAATATACTGAAACATTCAAGATGCTTAGCAACAGTACCAGCACTGCTGAGACTTACTGTAATGTCACTAATGTGAAATTTCAATACTCCCTCTATGCAACCACCTATATCCTCATTTTCATTCCTGGTCTTCTGGCTAACAGTGCAGCCTTGTGGGTTCTATGCCGCTTCATCAGCAACAAAAATAAAGCCATAATTTTCATGATCAACCTCTCCGTGGCTGACCTTGCTCACGTATTATCTTTACCCCTCCGGATTTACTATTACATCAACCACCACTGGCCTTTCCAGAGAGCCCTTTGCCTGCTCTGCTTCTACCTAAAGTATCTCAACATGTATGCCAGCATTTGTTTCCTGACGTGCATCAGTCTTCAGAGGTGCTTTTTTCTCCTCAAGCCCTTCAGGGCCAGAGACTGGAAGCGTAGGTACGATGTGGGAATCAGTGCTGCCATCTGGATCATTGTGGGGACTGCCTGTTTGCCATTTCCCATCCTGAGAAGCACAGACTTAGAGAAGAACAACAAGTCCTGCTTTGCTGATCTTGGATACAAGCAAATGAATGCAGTTGCATTGGTCGGGATGATTACAGTTGCTGAGCTTGCAGGATTTGTGATCCCAGTCATTATCATCGCATGGTGTACCTGGAAAACTACTATATCTTTGAGACAGCCACCAGTGGCTTTCCAAGGGATCAGTGAGAGGCAAAAAGCAGTGCGGATGGTGTTCATGTGTGCTGCAGTCTTCTTCATTTGCTTCACTCCCTATCATATTAACTTTATTTTTTACACCATGGTAAAGGAAACCATCATTAGCAATTGTCCCATTGTCCGAATCGCACTGTATTTCCACCCTTTTTGCCTGTGTCTTGCAAGTATCTGCTGCCTCTTGGATCCAATTCTTTATTACTTTATGGCCTCAGAGTTTCGTGACCAACTATCCCGCCATAGCAGTTCTGTGACCCGCTCCCGCCTCATGAGCAGAGAGAGTGGTTCTTCAATGATTGGTTAAAATTAAAATGTCTCTTTAATTATAACTTTGTTTGCCTACGTTCTTTGTCTTCTTTCAAAGGCCAGAATTGCCAACCAATTTCTTTATATGAACCTTGTAAACAGCAGAAATAAGTGTTTGTTTATGTGATATTCATAGTCACAGTGGTGTGATGATGAAGGCAGAGTGTGAAAAATGTGAGAGAGGAAGGGAAAATAGGTTTACCTGCTTCCTCTTTGAAATTCAAGATGCTTTCTTATTTAAGAAACCTAGATCAAGTTTTTACAGATATAAATAAAAGTTGAATAGTTTCCCTTAATTTTTTTCAATAAGTTGTTAATAATGCACAATATATGAATTTTTCCTAGTATGTAAAAAAATAACTTTCATATAAACGCCTTTATTTCTGAGTGAAAGTAAAAATGTCTAGTCTTTCTAACAGGTAAATTTTTCTAACAGGAAAGACAGTGTGAAGAATTGAAGCAGTATGTGCATAAATTTCAGAACCACAAACCTCTTACTAAAGAAAAGGCATGGAAATACATTCATTTGTTTAAAATGTGTTGGATGCCTGTTGTGCTCTGGGTTGTCACTTTGTTAGGTACTTCTTTTTGTTTGTTTGTTTGTTTTCATATGTTATTGGGGCACAGGTGGTATTTGATTTCATGAGTAAGTTATATAGTGGTGATTTGTGAGATTTTGGTGCACCCATCACCGGAGCAGTGTGCACCAAATTTGTAGTCTTTAATATAGTCTTTAATTTGTAGTCTTTAATCCGTCACCACCCTCCCACTCTTCCACACATAACATCTCATCCGGCCCTCCTCATAAACCTGTGTAAGTTGCCAATACCAATGAATAAATGGAGCCTCAGAGAGGTTAAGCAATTTGTCTCAGGATCAATAGTCGTTAGCCAAAATTGGTCAAGTATAATACACCACAAATGCTTATGTTATTCCCTTGTTTTTGTTGTTACATTTATTAGGTCTATAATAAATTAATCCTCAATGATGAAGACACAAACTAAAGCTAAGCCAATTGAGATCAAGGCCATTTCAACATGGTTTGCCTAGAATTCTCTAAAAAATCTGTATGTTGTGGCTTTCGCAGGTCAAGCTTCAGGCTGCAAGGTCTTAAGTGCTAAATAGATGTGTTGTCCTAATGCTGTTCCAAGGTACAGAATCCTGATGATAAGGAGTATAGAAAACTCAAAAAATTAATTATTTCTTTAAAAAATGTGTATTTTAAGGCATGATACAAATCATACAAACCCGATAAGTAGATTTTAAAAAACCCTACAAAATAGAGTGATAAACATTCTATAAAATGTTGAAATGTGTTTGGAGTTCACCTAAGCTCACTTTTCCTAAATAATACTATATAGTATTGTACACAAATTTGTTTTTAAGAAACTTTTAGGAAGATTTCTGTGAGCATAACTGACAATATCTCCATTAGAAGCAAAAAGTATTATTACATCATAAATACAAGAAAAGTGTATGTCCTTTTTCTGGCAATCTTTTTATCTTATTTTTTTCAAATGTTACGGGTGTTGCTTAAGCATCATTTTAAAGGATTTGAATACAAACAATCCCTCAGCTCATCAGGTTGAAATGTATGAAGCTCACCTCATCACTCTTATCTTTTATGTCTGCAATATAAATAGCATAGACATTTGTTGTGCAGGGAGGAAAAAGGAAATAGTAGCTCTTGGAATATTCATTTGAATAGAGTGGCTGTGGAAGAATGAATAACAAAAAAAAAGGGATTTTTTTTTCAAGATCTCTCACTGGGAAAAGAAAGACTTATGCAATTATAAAGTAATTAAACTGGTTTTCCTTATACTTTATTAATCTGGATCTAATGACATTTCCTTAGGAGGGTTTCCAGATGTGCTTGCAGTTAATGGCAACATTATCATAATGACCACATAGACAGTCCTATTCTAAGGAGATAACTTGGGAAAAAACCTATTTGGAACTCCACATCCTGCCATGCATGTGGAGAAATGGAACCCCAGTTCTTAAGAGTCACACTTTATATTCCCTGCTTTCAAGTGGTTGACAAAAGGTAGTGCTTGAAGCACAAGATTTATGGAATAGTGAGCCAATTAAACAACACGCTTTTTATTTTGACTACCATTTAAGTGGAATTTTTGAGCTTTTTCTGACATGTGAATTGCAATGTGGTGAGAGAGAAAAACATAAAATCATTCAAGCAATTGACAATCAGTTCTTTAATTTTAAAGGGGATATCTTATATAATGCCAAAAGAAAAGGTGACAGTGCTTCAGCTGATGATATAGCAGTGCAAGAAATCAGTGAAATTGTTTTAAGGTATTACAATAAACAACAATTTTAAAAGTTATTCCTATGCTTGTCACAATGACATAATTTGAGCCAAACAAAACATCAAAACATATATCCTTTAATAATTTTTCAAAAGGTCAAAACTAAAGCTAAACATTGCCCCCAAAATCTCTGCAAGGCACTAAGCAAAATCCACACAGAATCCATTCAGAATCTCATAATACTGATGAAAGATTATTTAAACTTCTGATAGTTTTGGTAAAAATGGAAAGGAATTTAGTAAAAATGGGAGAAATATAACCTTTGTACCAATTTATGTGACCTTAAATGCCATTTATGCGTAATCAGATATGCTGTTTTCTCTTTACATTTTAAAATAAAGAGTGTTATTGGTTAGCCAGGCATGGTGGTGTGCAACTGTAGTCCCAGCTACTTGGGAGGTTGAGGTAGGAGAATCACTTGAACCCGGGAGATGGAGGTTGCAGTGAGCTGAGATTGTACCACTGCACTACATCCTGGGTGACACAGCAAGACTCCATCTTAAAAAAAAAAATAAGTGTTATTGGATTTTTTGTAACTCAAAGGACAAATGCTTGAAAGGATGGATGCCTCATTCTGTATGCTGAGCTTATTTCACGCTGCATGTCTGTATCAAAACATCTCATGTACCCCATAAACGTATACACCTACTATGCACCCACAAAAATAAAAATACAAAAGTTTTAAATACTACCACAGATTATAGGTATAACATTTGCCACTTATCAAATAAATTACCATTATAAAGTAGGTATTCTGAAGACTGTACAAGAATTATAGTGCCAGCTTCTGCCTCTTGCGTGACCTTCAGGAAGCTTATAATTATGATGGAAGGTGAATGGAGAGCAGGCATGTCACATGGTAAGAAAGGGAGCAAGAGAGAGTGAAGAAAAAGGTGCTACACTCTTTTAAACAAACATCTTGCATTAAATCATAGAGTGAGAACCCACTTATTACCTTGAAGACAGAACCAAGTCACTCATGAGGGATCTGCTCCTATGAACCAAACACCTCCTCGTAGGCCCACCTCCACCATTAGAGGTCATATTTCAGCATGACTTTTAAAGAGGATGAAACATTTAAACAATATCAGCACTAAGTACAAAGGAAGAGTAAACTTTCTTATTGGAAACCTTCTGTGTTAGGGGTGGAAAGAGAAAAAAGCTAAGGAGTGCCTAGTACTGAATACCATAGCTTGGCTAGAAATATAGAAAAGAGCAGTAATTAACAAGGCTGTAAAAATTAGAAGTTTAGAATATGAAGGGCCTTAAATGTCAGGTATATAATTTGTACTTTGTGTGGTGAGGTGAGGCAAGATGGATCATAAAAATTGTGGAGATAAAAAAGCTTATACAGACCTTGAGAAACAATGATATGGCATAATAACACGGGCAAAAGCCTGCTGGCAAGTAAACACTATTGTTTACTCCTTCATTTTGAGATCTGGATTATCTAGATAATTTCACAGACATACATATGAATTATAAGAAACATACAACAGGAATAGCTGTCATTTATTGAATCCAACTATTTGGGGCTTTACATGGATCATCATATTTAATTTTCTTTTTTTTCTATTTTTCTTTTTTATTTTTTGACAGAGTCTTGCTCTGTCACCCAGGCTGGAGGTTGGAGTGCAGTGGAGTGATCTCAGCTCACTACAACCTCCACCTCCCAGGCTCAAGCAATTCTCCTGCCTCAGCCTCCCGAGTAGTTGGGACTGTAGGTGAGTGCCACCACACATGGCTAATTTTTTAAATTTTTAGCAGAGACGGGGTTTCAATATATTGACCAGGCTTGTCTTGAACTCCTGACCTCAGGTGACCTGCCCACCTCAGCCTCCCAAAGTGCTAGGACTACAGGCATAAGCCACCACACTCAGCCAGGGCATCATATTTAATTTTCACAATCCCATGAGGTAGATACTATAATTAATCCCACTTTTCAGTTGTAAAGCACATACAGATAGTTTAAGTAACTTTTTCAAGTATACACAGCTAATAAATGATAACGTCAGGATTTTTAACTCTGAAAATCGGAATCCAGAACTCATGTGCTTAACATGGTATTATTGGCCTACGTATTACTATAATACAATAAATTTCATGGGACATGTTAATACTTTGAAAATACTCTTCCCTAGTATCCAACATAACTATACAATTAAAATGTATAGTTATGATACTTGTGTTGTATTTTTTTATATTTTCCAACATTCTGAAACTTTGTGCACAACTATAACTTGTCAATTTACAATACAATTTTAAAAAAATAAACTAAAAATTTTAAACCCTCATTTTATTACACTCCTCTTCATAAATGCTTATTCTAGTCTCTTGTATGATTGCAAAGTTAAGGATAAATGTGAATAAATATAGTATGGATGGTTTCAGCCATAAGTACATATATTTTTATTTGTAAAAACCAGAAAAATACATTGAAATGTTAAAATTTGCAACATTTGGGAGATCTGATTATAGATAATCATTATTTTCTACTTTAAATTTTTCTGATTTTTCCGAACATTTTTGGTAAGCATGCTATTTTTAATCAGAATATGATAAATATTATAAGGCATGAGTAAACAATTAGACAAATCAAGAAAAAATACAATTGCTTCAGAACAAACAAAGGTTTTTGGATAAATTTAAAAATCCAGTAAGGCAAAAGAGATGTTTGGTAGACATTAAATTACATAAAATGGGAGCGTATGTTTTGCAACATCCATGAAATGTTTATAATTGTTGATTATATGCTAGGTAATAAAGGCTCAGATGCAAATAGGAGGAATTATGCATATGACATTACACAAACAAAATTAGAATTACCAAAAATGTAAATATTAGAAAATTTAAAAGGACATGTGTTGATTACAACATGAGATAAAATTTTAAAAATACTGTGGTAAATCTAATGCCAATAAGTTTGAACATCTTATTGAAATGGATGATTTCCTGTGTCAAAGGATTATCAAAATAAAGCAAGAATAGAAAATTTGAATAATTGACTACATAAGAATTTTTCTTTTGAGTTACAGTCTGCTGTAGAATTTATTTTTTATAATTTTAATTTCATTTTGAATTTTAGATTCAAGAGAGTCAGACGTGTATGTGCTGGTTTGTCCCATGGGTATATTTCATGTGGCTGTAGTTTGAGCTTCTGTTCATCTTATCACCCAAACAGTGAACATAGTATTCAGTAGATAATTTTTCAACCATTGCCCTACTCTCTCTCTTTTCCCTTTTCAAGTCTCTGGTATCAGCTGACCTAACCTTCATGTCCATGTGTACTTAATGATTAGCTCCCATTTATAAATGAGAATATAAAGTATTTGGTTTTCCATTTCTGCATAAATTCACTTAAGTTAATGGCCTCCAGCTGCATCCTCGTTGCAGAGGAGGACATGCTATTTTTTGTGGCTGTGTAGTATTCCATATACAGCTTCTTTATCCAATCGACTATTGATAAGCACTTAGTTTAATTCTGTGTCTTTGCTATAGTTAATAGT